AAAAAGCAACAGTAATAATAAGAGGTGATTAAATAAATGATTAAATTTTGTATAAAATAATAAAAGCCCTCATTTCTACAAAGTTGTCGCATAAAAAAATTAGAAGTTTTTCCTAGATTGACATTCAAAAAGCTTTTCCTCCTGATCTTTTAATCACTCAACTGTTGTAACTTTATAAAGAAAAAATTGGTTAACTTACCACGGCAATAACGGCAAGTTTTTTTGCATCGGTCTTGCATTACTTTCTGATACGCGGGTTCATCACACAATTGTTTAGCAGCGTTACAAGTAGATAACAAGTCGTCACAACTACCTCAACAACAAAAAACGCATTTTGCACTAATTCATGCAAAATTCAGTTCCAATCTGTTGCTTTTATCTTCAGTATAATAATGCCGTCGTTATTTATTTCAACTGATTAAAAATAAGATATTTGTTATTTCTACTGAAAAAAAATGCTCTACTATTAAAGCAAAAAACTTCTTACCACAGTAACCACACATTTTTGGGCACTGCTCAGACAACAGCTTTTCGTAACCTGGTTTGTAGCAGTAGGCTACATCTTGAGCACAACTTGAAGATTTGTCAACACATTCCTCTTGAAAAAAAAAAACAAGGATTATCAGAATCCATTTATAACAACACTAGAGATATAATTTGCTTATCATAATTAATGTTAAAAATAAGGCAGGGAAAAAAACTATTTTAGTCACCTGTTGTATCTGTGTCTGGTTTTGGGGTTGTTTCTTTACAAGTAAAGGTACCGTCACCAGTACCGGTACAATCCTCATTTGGCTTGCATTTATTGTTCCCACATAGACAGCTGGGGGTACCGTCTTTCTTCCCGCACGTTAATGGAGGAGTGCACTTTTCTTCACCGCAGTAGCATTCCGGTGTATTGCCCTGCTTATTCTCACACTTCTCTGAATCACTGCACGTTTTTTTGCCGCACCAGCATTTTAGGGTACCATTGTTGTCCTCAGCACACAATTCATTGTCCTTACAGGTATACATCCCACAGGCACATTGGTCACCAAAACAAATTTCGGCTTCTCCACAAAGTCTTCCACCACATTTTTTACAAACTTTAGTACCATTCTCCTCTACACATTCTTCACCTTGTACGCAGGGTTTATCACTATTACCGCAATAGCATTTTCCCTCCTTACACTGTTTACTGTCTTCACATTGCACATCTTTAGTACCACAGAAGCACTCTCCTTTGATACACTTTTGACCGGTAGAGCTGCAGTCGTCATCATTTTTACACTGTGAACCTGGATAGAGTTTTTCACCATATTAGACGCAGATATAAGTGCATTAAGATGTTCATAGAAATATTTGTTTTCTTCTTTTTTAAATTCTTGAACAAAGTTTTGTAAATTAATATGCTAAAAGTTAATATCAATAAAAATTAATGTTTATTTTTTCAAAATACTCTTATATTTACGCAGATATAAAAAAAAAAAAAAGAAAATTATTAGTTCATTGCTCATATTTCTCTCATCTACTAATCTATTTTACGTCGTTTTTTCTCAGTCTTAAATTAATGCAATTAACAGGAAGACTCTATCAAAGCTGATATATTGTAAGGCAAACTTCAAATCTGTTTTGATCAAATCAGTGATCTACAAAAAATGATCTAGTTAAACTTTTGAAAATCTAGTAAGGTTTACCAGTTAAAACAGTGTCCCTTAAACTTTTGTGGTTTTTCATCGTTTTTTGTACAAAAAAGTATTTTTATTGTTCTTAATAGACCTTTCAGTCAACTTTTATCTTGGTCATCACTGTCTCTATGTTTAACTTAACTTAGTTAAAGCAGAAATAAGAGAAAAAAATATATATATATAACAGTTTTATACAATTAAAGTTTTTACTTGTATGAACAAAACAAACTTTAAAATTTCTTCTGGTTTTCCTTATCATAGCAATCTCATAGTTCGCTACAATTTTTGATGACAACCGTACAACTTGACAAAAAGAAAGAAAACTTTTATTTACAAAAATTAACCTTATTGTATTTCTCAATAATTTAGATAAAAAATTTATTGGCTACAATAACTAAACTTTGAAAAAAAAAAAAAAACATTGGCTACGTTAAGCATTTCAATTATAATATGACAGTTACTGCTGATTTGTTTCTTTTTTTCTTTTTTTTTCAAAAATTTGCAAAAACTGATTAAATTATGGGTTACCAGAAGAAGGTTTGCAAGCGAAGACTAATAACAGAAATGAGCAGTATAATATGAGTTGCATATTTGGTGGTCTGAACTTTGAAACCCAAATAGATGAATAAGTAGTTCAATACAAAGGCTTCAATAACATATGCGCTTCAGCAACTGTATTTATATCCTTTAAACTTTACTAACTGCATTTTTAATGACCCGAATATTAATCAGTTCTTACTAAACGTTCCAAGTGTTAGAAAAAAAGACTTATCAATTTTCAATGTTTGCAGCCTCCCTTCCC